TTTAAATCCAGAAAAAATCCTATACAATTTGATTTCAAGAACATCAACAAATCCATAGCTGTATCAATACAGAAAACAACTTAATTTGTTTTGAAATAAATATTTCACATACAATGCACATAAAGTGAAAAAGGGTCACAGTAAATTACAAATGGAGATACTTGCTTGTTCACTGAGAAAAGCCCTTGATATTTCCAATTTCATACCATCAAATTTATCATTCTTGCTGATTTAAGCACAGCACTAAACAAATATGGATCCCAGTGCTTTCTTTCACAGGTACTGGCATGGATAATTTACTGCAGTGATCCAATTTAAAAATCAGTAGGGACCAGTAAATCGCTGCATAAAAGAAAGAGCGAATGAGGTGCTTTTTCCTTGGTGTCAGCAGCCTGTGATTATTATGTTTATTAGATTTTCTTGAAAGGGCTTCACATTTTCTCAAATATGCAGGAGAACTATATTTCCCCTCTGAGCCCTTACATTAGCATTTTGTGCCTCAGTCCTTGAATACAAGTAAAAGATGAATTTTTCAATTCATTTTATAAGTTTGTACCATCTGGATGCCACAAAACTAAGCAATGAAACTCCCTTACTTGCCCCGTATCAGCTGTTATCACAGAGCTAGCTTCTGCAGGAAAGTTAATAAGTAATGCTGACATTTAATGAAAAATGTATTTTCAAATCCACTTTTAAGATTAAATTCAATTACATTATTTGAAATAAAGGATTGCTTAAGGTTCTATCCCTAAAAGGTGATTTAAAACAGCAAGGCCTGACTCTTCCTGTGATTTTAAGAAAACAATAGCACAATAGTTACAGTATGAAGATGCACTAACCAACTTCAGTATATATACTTGAACCACAAATACTTGCATTGCAGCAATTAAAAATTATAGACAATTACAACAGATCAGCATACCCTACTAATATGTAGCATGTAAGTGGCTTGCGATCTCACTCTGCTGCTTTATTTTTCCTCACCAGAATGATGAGGATGCCAGAGACTGTACCTAGCTCTTCCATATTGGAATCAATTTTTGACACCACTTTAAAAAAACATGCGGTTCTAGCTCCATGTTCTTTGCAACCCTTAATTTAAGCACCGTAAGGTACAGTACTTTCTGAAGGTGTTTTTAGCAGCAGTATTATTTTAGTATAATTTTGGAAACAGGACTAAGACATATGTGGTGTAGAAACATATCAGTTAGCCCCAGACCCTTCTCCAACTCTTTTTTTTGCTGTTTCTTGCTCTGCCAGAGCTCTTGCCTCAGGTGAGTTGTCTTTCCTTCCATGCCTCAGTTCCCATCTGTACAACACATGGTAACTGCAATTCCTTAATTAACAAGGGGTCTGCACAGCAAATGTTGCAGTACGGGTGCCCAACAAGAAGAAGGTCCAATGGAGACTATACAGAATAACCACCTACATTATTTGTTTGAACAGTACTATCACATACATAGTTAGCAGCTCAAAAACTGTTGGAATGAGTAGTAGCTCACAATTATAATAGATTGAAAAAATCCTTAGAATGTGGCCCATAAAATATTAACAGATATTGCTCCCCTTCAACATCCATCAAAGAAGGGAGCAAAACAAAACTTACAGGACAAAAATTACAACAGAAGTGTAAAATTAAAGACAATAAAGGAAAAAGACACATACATTAGTGAATTACTTTGTGTGAAAGAAATTCCAACTGGCATTAGCTGCTCCAACAGACACGGTGGGTACCAGTGCTTTATCTATCTACAGATGAGAAAAGACAAGTCTTATGCTGGAGCATCACTGCTACAGCAACCTTGTGCACAGCAAGGTGCAGAATTTATGCAATAGCACTTTAAGTTATGAAAGGTAAGAGAACATAAAAACAATAACCAGCATGATTTATACCAGTGGAAACAATTGCTGCTTTAGGTACATAATATTTCAATAGAACAGAAACTCCTCTGCTTCACATTTGGGGTTGACTGGCATTTTATAGGCTGTTGCAAAGTTTTTCTACTACCCCCAACTTCTGTTACAGTCTTTGTGTCACAGTTGGCTGCTGACAGCACAGCAATGTGTTCTCACCAGAAAAACCTCAAGCTACCAGCATTTCATGCATTTAACTTAATTGTCAGTATAGAAACAGTCACAAACTGTGGTAAGGAAATGGGCACAAGGACAGAATTTTTTTGCCAGCATTGGGGAAACTGTGTTATCACTTACGCAACCTAAAGGCTACACAAAAATTGAAGTTGATGCAGACTGAAGGTCAGTCACCTGATTTTGCTTAGAAGTTATTTTTACCCCATTGTTCCATGTTTTCTTGGCACAGAGAGCTGACTTTTACCAGGCCACAAGTAAAATCCAGGCCTCATTTGTCAAGCAATTTCTTGCAAAGCCAAGAATATACTACCAGCCAAATCAAATCCTGCGTATGAAAGATCTTCCTGCTCCATTTCTAAGACCTAGAAGAAACTTCACAAATTCTGTATTTGCATGTAAGCTCTACTTCATGGCATTGTCTGCCCACTCTCTACTTACTGAAACCTCATTTATTCCTTTTAATCTTCCTCATCCGTTTGTAGAGTTGGATTTCAAGACTTAGCAGCCTTTGCTTACACTTGCTATACATGATATCAAACAGACTCTTCTCTAATTCAATAAAAGCATACAGTTAAAGGAACAGTAGTTTGCACCCATAACAGTAGTCTTAGACCACAAAAATTTGCTCAGGAGTAATGTATCATTTTGCTGATACTAATTACAGAAGTATTTATTTGTCCTCCACTCCCAGTTTGGGGAACCAATTTACATGACAAAATGAATTTTTACATTAGTAGTGCAAAGAGCTGAACGGTCTGGTGTCACCACTCAAAAAATGTACTGTGTAACATGAAAGAGGGTCAAGAACAATGCTGAAGAATTGAAATGTCAAGAAGTAGGTCTAGATTGCTCCTCAAATTATCTACCACTGTTGCAGTGCTTATTCTGTAGTTAAATTATAAGGAAAGGGTTGTAAGATTTTTGCACATTAGAAGGCAAAAATTCCCTATTAAATAATTTAGAAATGCACAAGACCTTGTCCCAGTTCACAGGTAGAACTGGGAATACTAGAACATGCATACATACACACAGGACAGCATTCTGCTCAACTTCGAGGTTCAAACATCAGTATGTTCTGCTAGAGAGAAATAAGCTTGAAGAGCCTAGCAAATTATGTTTAACACCTTTTATTGCAGTAGAAATTTTAGTTTTTATAAAATCCTCAAATTACAGGATATACATATAGTGAATCTCATTGCAAGTCTTTAGCAGCTGTAGAGCATTACTGCATGCAGTTGCTTCTGCAGTGTGCAAGTGTTCTATAAATAGCTAATCATGTTCAGAGAGCAAGATAAGTAGTCAAAGAGTATCATATTAAATTACCAATAGGTTCATCAGTACCAAGAGGTTGAGCAAAAAATGAAATAAATGTATAAATACAAGGCTCTGATCTAGCAAACAACTGGAAATTCTGAATGATACCCACATCACAAGATATATCAACAGTTACAGGAAAATATTTTGTTCCAAGACTGTTTTCAAAAGGGTTTCACAAGATTTTTCTGACCAAAGAAGAATAGCTAAGTACAGTGCAAAATAAATGTACAAAAGGCCAATGAACCCCATTTGATTTTTTTGCAATTAGAATACTAACATTAACTACAGAAGATCA